TATAATTCTCTTCTTGGAGACGCTAGAAAACAAGCTGTAAATGCGCTCCCTACCACCCCCACCCCTACATGTTCTAGTGAGCTGTGGTTCACGCTAAATGTTTACAATCGTAGAGACGGGTTTAGTGACGGTTACTAGGGGCAGATAATTTAGTTTGAAACTTAAGGGAGGTAACTAAGAGGAGGCTGCTTTCATGGGGGGGGAGGGGTGTAGGGTAGGGGTTGGGGGAAAAGAGGGTGGGGGGGTACCGTCCTTAACGACCTACTGATAGTGTTTTAAAGCAAATATTTTCTGTTGCAGCATTGGTACTGTCAAACTCACAAATTATGAGTTACTGAAAGTAGAAAATAAAACAATTAAATAGCGGCGTATGATAGGCCGCGGGTCGGCTAGTATTAAATAAAGAAGATTATATGGGGATAGATTAATACATATTTACATTGATAAGATAGACATAATCGACAAAAAAATCTCCACTAAAGCATACCCGAAGTCTTTGATATATGCTAACCTAATATAAAAAGTGTGAAGCTTAACCTCCATATATTTCAAATTCACACAGTGTCACAAATTTCCCATCTAATGTAGAATCAGTTGCAGTGACTTTTAAAGACTTGACCAAGACTGATGGAGTAGTTACTGTATAAAGTTGTAGGTTGTCATTTGATTTATCCTGGTGCTCAGCTATCACTTTATTCTTGTCGTCAAATATTTCAAGTTTAAAGTTTCGAAGTCGGGCTAATTGAAAGATATGTATATATATATATATATATATATATATATATATATATATATATATATATATATATATATATATATATATATATATATATATTTATTTATTTATTTATTTATTTATTTAATTTTGTGCGTGTGTGTTAGGGCTTTACTTATTTTCAAACATTAGATTTTAACAGGACGCTCCCCGAACATGGTACTTTAGGATAATACATACATGCACAATATATTTTGTTATCTTTTCAACACCGATCGTTTTCTGTCAAAACGAAATTATCCAGCATTGTAAATATTTAGTTTGTAATGTAAGTTCTTAAAGAAACGCCTACGAAACGATATACACTTCTTTCTAAACCATTTAATCACTGCTTGAGAACTTCTGATGAATGTAAAAACATTGGATAAAAGTATGTGCATTGCCTGTTATATTGTGTCCTGTTACAAACAAGCACATTAAAAAATACTGTTTTGTTAGATTTTCAGTTTTCTACGTCAGTTTATTAAAATAAAACTCCGTGGAAACAAGGAGGAATGATTAATTGAGGAAATTATGAGTACCGTTAAAGCATGTTACGATTGAAACCCGGTTATCGGTCATAATAAATGAGCTTAGCCAATTATTATATTAGCTGTCTCTGTATGTCCACTTCAATCCTATTTCATTACTTCTCCACACACGAACTCCCGACCTTCCCCCTCTTAATATATCATTTGCCTACTAAGTCAAATAACATGTATTATTATTCCGGGTTACTTTTTCGCTGTTTTTGTATAAAGTATGGAAATAGAAATCCAACATAACATATATAGCCCCTATTTAATCGCAATGTTGCATTAAAATATTACCGCATTGAAAACTCTTTTATCTTTAACCTTTAACCCATAACCGTTTATGATACTATATCCCTTACATCCATTTATACATCGCCGAAGATTTTCGATAGCCTTTCTCATTTACATTTTTTCTTCTTAACTTTGTCATTACCGTGTTGTTTCCATAAAATGTTATCAATGTGATACTTTTAAAAAGTAATTTTAATCGTAGCTTATTAATATAAGAAACTCAAAATTATTCTGACGCAACTTTAAAAAAATCAACGAGTTAAATTTTTTTGCTTATATTTGGAGTTAATTTTTTAAAAACTTTTCATTAAAGTAATTAAAGTCTTAAACATTTAATGGTTAGATACTTCCGTAGCGATCCCATCTGTTGTAAAGAATGCATCTGTTAATGTAGAATCTCCGAGACAATGTAATGTTCCAATATGGAGTACTATTCTTCTCAACAGCTGATGTGTGCGAGCAAGAATAGTGAGTTACGTCGCCATCTATGTTACCATCTACAGCCAACGCGGCTACCAATGGTGTGCCATTTTCAGGATGAATTGAAGATTGTTCTGTAGGCTGCTTAAATGCAAGGTTGCGACCTGAGAAACGAATTTTTAACTTTTAGACTAGTAAATATATTGGTTTGTGATTGTTTTATTGTTATGTTAAAATTATTTTTGATCTTATTTTACTATAGAACATATTAAATTCAATATTGTTGTTATCTACTTAAGGAAATTGTTTTCTAAGAAAAATATTTGATGTCAATAGTTAAAGAGTCAACATTTAATTTGGCGTTTGCAAAGGATGTTTCTTTATAAATGAAACTCTTATTTACTCATGTGTGATGAAGGTCAGTAAACGAACTCCACCCCTTTAATAAATCTAGGAAGACTAGGTGTATAAGCAACTATTTTCTAATGGTTTAAAAATGAATATATTATTAAATTGTCTATTATTTTAAAAATACAGGCCTACTACTTAAAAACAATAGTTCAAAATAAGAAATTAATATCAATGTTTTCTTAAACAGTGTAACCACTTGTGGTGTTCTAAATAATCTTGTGTCGACTTAGTAAAGAACATATATATGTTGTAACAGCTCATCTATGATTCTACATTTAACCCGTGTCCTTAATTAAAAATATTAGAGCGTTTGAGAAAGTAAAATGACGTGCTAAATGGCTCAATTATTCTTGTATTAATTAATATTTGCAAAATGTTTAGAATTTACAAACATTTTTAATAAACTGTCGTCTCAATTTAAGGTAAAAGAAAATATAATTTCAGCGAAAACAGTCAGAAGTAAACAATTTTCTTTTACCTTGCAGTTTCTTAACTCATTGTCATTACCAATTTAAAAAGTAGAGCAGACATTTAGAGTGTGATGAGATAATCAGACTAAAAGAAAAATCTATGTATAACCTATATCGACTAAAGCATAATGAGTCAAGTTTTTTTTTTAAATGGATACATTGATATTTCATTATCTGTAGGAATTATGTCTTTTGGTTTTAGAATGGTTTTGAAATCATATTAACACTTCACTTGAGAATGACTTTATATTCATCCATTTTTTACTTCCGTGGCTAATCAAAGCATAATTTTAGACTTCCCACCTCCCCTGTTCCCACAACATCCCATGTGAACGTCACAAAAAACTACTATAAATTTACAAATTCTAAACATGTTATTGAATTGAGTATATTTGAACTTCCTTAACATCGTTTCATCACAAATCGCTAGGTCTAAAGATGAATCTTTGTTTTTTATTTGCTAAATATGTTGAGTTATCTGGGTTTAAAAAATATTTATTTTAAAAATGATGATTTGAACAGTCCAAGGACGACAGTCCAAACTCCCAATAAAGAGATCACATGCAGATTTTGTTTAAGACCATAAACTCCGACTCTGCAGGACTGAAGTGCTTTTCGAGATCTGCAGTCCTTGTAGTTGTCACATAGATTATATAGAAAAATATATGTATTCAATTAACACAATATTTATAAAGTCAATATATACATGAAAATATTATTTAAGATAATTAGAAATTGGAGGTGGTAAAATTGTAAAATCCAGGGTTTCTTCTAGTCTTCTAGACATTTTTCTCAGGGGGCACTTGAACTTTTTTTTAAGGGGGGGGGGGGGGGGCGGACTAAAATTTTCAAGGGAGGTGGGCTAGCCCCCACCACCCTAACCCCGGAATGCCTGGAATAAACTCTGGTAAAATCTAGTTCTAAGCTAGTCTACACATGATTATAACTATTAATAATATAATATCTACCATGGCGGGTAATGTGTACTACGGGTACATTTTACTCACCTTAGCATGGTACGTTATGGCCGACTTTGACTGCTAAACGATTTCTGTTTTACGTTTGTAATTGCAGAAATTTACCATTTAAAAAAAAAATCGTATTTATTTTTTATTAATGTAGATTCATTTTGCTAGCATTTTAGTACGTTTAAACGAGATGCGCGTATCCTCTACCTATAGTCTTCATCATCCAGAATAATTTAAATGTGTCAATATTATTTTCTATCAGTCATTATTTCGTAAATGAGGATGGTACGAAGTGTACCCAACTATATATAGAATCAATTTAACTTCGACATTAATAGACTGTCTAGAGCTACTGACCTCCACTGATATAAAGCGAACAAATTGTGATAGGTTTGTTCCATGTCAACTTGAGAGCATTTGTTGTTTGGTTCATATCACACCAGACGTCAGTTGTCCTGTTGTTGACTACGTTGGCGTTTAGTTTGTTGCATGGGATTGTCCAATCGGGGGTGTTGTTCTTGAATGTTAGACTAAAGCTGTCTTTGTTACTGCCTTTAAAAATCATATTAAAAAACCGCCGGTATTTGTTTTACCAATAACACAATTAACTTGTGTTGTTTTTATTTTGTTGCTTTCAATAATTTTTTACTAGCTTTTTTTACTCAGCCATTGGAAGGAAGTAATCGAAGTCGTTCTTTTTATTTTAATATTATTTCATTTTGTATTTCTAAAATTTCGTGATTAGTAATTGGAAACAGCAGTAAATAAAATATTTAAAAGAGAGATTTTATAGCATTTTTATCACATTAAAATAATTTTTATCTCAAAAAACATAATCACCTTCTTCTAGAACAGTGAACCGTAACCATGTAAACAGGTAGGATGTTTTAAATGTTATAATAAGCGAATCCGTTACACTAACACAAGTGTCGTCTCTGCCATCATACAAGTTTTTATTTACACCTGTTGTGTAGTTGTCGTTAAGGAGATTTTCTGATAAAAAACAGAAACAAACAACTCCTTAAATTCCAAGGTCGCTTCAATAATCAATAACTAGAGTTATTAAAAGAATAAAAAACATGTAAATGGATAAAACATCAATTACATGATCTCAGACGAACATGATACAACAAATTCCAACAAAACTCACGGTACTGGCAGGCAGGACCAAACCACCATGTAGAACACTGACCATCTGGACATGGTGTCTGACCTCCACATTGTCCAGTGGCACAGTTACACTTGTAGGTGGTTGAGTTGGTCGACCATGTTGGTACATTGACTAATGGAAAAAAATAGCCCATTTCTAGAATTTTTTTTAACATTAATAGTCTGACTAAAATCCATTCCAACTAAAATACTACTTATACTTTTTTTCTTCTGTTAGCTAGTTAGAAACTTACCACATAAGACACTGAAGATACTAAACACTAAACATGAAACAGTCAAAAACACAATCGACGTTACAGTCATCATTTTATGTATAGTACCTGGCTGTGGGAGTGAAATTATAAATATACTATAAATCCACTATATATATATATATATATATATATATATATATATATATATATATATATATATATATATATGTATATATATGACTAACATGTTAATGCGTATGTATATGTATATTATTTTTGTAATATTAGGCATACTTGTATATTTATACATTTCTCTGCAAGTGTTCATAAGTGTAGATGTGTTAATTTTTGCAGTTTTTACTTTTTTTAAGAATACAGATGTTAATATTACCCTTTTCAATTTAAAAAAATAAGTTACCCAATAATCGGAAAGTTTTCGGCCCACGAGTTGTATTTCACCAACAATTAGTAATGAGAGCTAAATTTAAACTTTGTCATTCAGTACATTCGTTTTGCTAATATCTAACAGTGCAATAATCAAACAATTTTAAGACTAAAAATAAAAAGTAGACGCTATAGGCTACACAACCGTTTGTTGTAAACCGATTGGGTAAACCAGGTATGAAGTGTCAGTTATCTCAACCTAGATTTGTTTAAAGGAGTGTTCTAATCTTTCGCTTTCTTGAAGTACATATGTTCTATGTTCTATGTGAGAGTTTTTGTTATACGTGAGAATGTTGTGTTTAAGATACATAGAATACAGTGGAACAGCTAGGGGGAGACACTCGCTGCGTGCGTCGACCCTTATTGGGGTGCCAAAAGAGATAGAAGAAAATGAAACAGCTCATTTTAAGTTGCAGTATTGAATTATACATCGCCAACGCTAAGAATAAAAAAACCGTTTCCACGTCTTAACATATCAATGAAACTGTACTCTACCTTGATTATGTAACTGTAATGTACCCTTATAAGTCAGTGGTCGTTAAAAAGCGCTGTCAAGCTTATTTCATAAATGGAGGGAAGGGCGCGTTTCGCCAACGTAATTTGGTGGGATTTACATACGATTTTGTAGAAGATTTAAACTTCGAAACAAAAAAAAACTGAATTGGATATCTTAAGCCAAAAGAGACATTATGCATTAATAACCTTAAGATTGATATAATTAATTATTTTAAAAAATACATCCAACGGGTAGCCTACTTGAATTAGTATGATTTACTCCTTTTCGATAAAGGCTTAGAAAAAAGTCTTTAGTTTCTTGAATTAGTTTTCGGTTGGAAATTGATAAATCATTAAAGTAAAAAATAATATTTATGCGCTGACGTTTGAATCTTAATAAAAATTGTTTCGCTCAACGCGCTTTGAGTTCTACTTTTAATTTTTAGGCTTAATAATAAACATTACTGAGCATATTACATCAATATATCAGTTAAAATGTAAATAAGACATGTTACTGAAATTGTAAATAAGAAATAATTTTTAAGAGGTTTCCAAAATTTTTTTGGACGTCAACGTCAAGGAAAGGGTTAGTCGTTAGTGGATGCTTGTCTAAAATTTTTGGAAGTTATAAACGGATGACCCGTAACTGCGCCATCCTAAATGATTTAAGTTCAATAAATATTTTATAATTAATTATTCATAATTAACTAAAGGTAAAGTAGCTGTAATGTATCATAGGCATAGATGGATAGGCCTACTTCAGACGTGTGTGGTACCTTGCCATATGGCTACAGTATGCAATATAGAGTTAAGAAATAATAGACTTTTACAAATATATCGTATGGAAGTAAAAGACTTCACACGTAAGTCCAGTTAATTGAAAACCTGATGCTGATAAAAAGACTAGAAAAATATAAAAATGTTAAGGTCTGTTGTTTGGTTATTTTGATTTGAGTTTTGTTTGGTCAAGTCTTTAACTTTTTAGAGTCTGTTCTTTCTTGTCGTTTTCCTTCTATTTAATTTTGTTATAATATCTTATAGTCTGTGGTGGTTATGTTTTAGAAGTTTAAAATTAGAGGAATAAATTTTTCTTTTCTATACATACAATCATAAAAAAGACACACTTTAATAAATAAGGACATTTGAGGCTTAGATGTTGATAATAAAATACTCTTATTACTTATCTCGATTAAAAGTTTTGTTTGATACATTCAGGGAAAAAACAAGTTTTCAAGTCATCACAAATATCCGTTACAAAAAATATACATTAATGTATATATCATGTATAATGTAATTATACAATTTTAATTAGACAATTAGTAAATGTTTGCTTGAATTCACATGCATTACACGCCGTGGTTGAAGGATACTATTTTAAGCAATAAAAATATCTGTTAGGTGTGGCTGTTAAGCAATAAATCAATAACCTGAAATAGTACACGAGCCAACACTTCCTTTTTCATGTCCATTTTATCAGCTGCCGTAAACGGCGTTTGATTTGTTATGTCTAATGACGTTAGCCTTTTTACTTCCTCGTTTAAGATCTTATCTGAGACTCAGTATAGATCTAGCTGTAGATAACAGTCTCTTACGCTGGTGGTACAAGAGATAGCTAGGTCAATCTCACGAAACATTGTTTACATTGCTAATCTTGTTTGAAGTCGAAGCATTACTTAGTTTTTGTATTTGAATATGAATTTAAAATGATTACTATAAGGCCAGCTTTCTATATTAATAAATCTAATATTCTTATACAAAGCAGAAATATGTTTTTTTTAAATGAAAACATTAGAAATAACAAACTTTATAAATGCACAAAAAATTATAAATAAAACAAGATGAGCTTCTTTAATTACATTTACGGTTCGCTAATCGTGTCATGCATGCATTGAGCGATAAACATTTTTACTGAAAACAGACGACTATTCTGTTTTATTTTTATTTCAGTATATAAATACGATTGTTATTGCAAGCTTTTTATATTTTTTAAACTACGGATTAGTTAATAAATAACATTAAAATAATGAATAATATTTACGGTTTTACAAAACCAAAAAGCGCCACAATCATTTTTAAATAACCTTTTGTTTACGTCCGAAGGCGGCTCATAAGGATGAAAACACCATTGATCACAAGCTCATTACGTTATATTTTCCGTGGATACTATTTGTATGTTACGGTTGAAAGTGTCTCTGTACGATAAAAACTTGTTAGGATTTTAAAATTACTAATACAGTTCACAAATTTTGTTTTTAGAAGAGAGTGTCCAAAATGTCGAAAGATTAATAAAAAATTGGAGAAAGTTTAGATTTATTTTTCTATACCCCCAAAAAAAAAACCCGATCAAAACATAGTCTATTCATAACATATTTATCTTTCATTATTTATTCTAGGAGGCATTACGTGTTCCTGAAAAATTTACCGTTCACATAATATATTTCAAAATAAACAAGTGAAAGAACAAAAAATGCTTGTTGCTCAATATATTTTTCTTTAAGATAAACCCATATTTATATGTTTGAATTAGAGTAGATTAAATGTTAAATGTTAACAGTTGGGTAAGTGGGCAGATTAGTTGATAGCATATTGGGATGAGATGAGGTTTAATTTAACATTTTTAAAAATGCATCTATCTATCCTAAATATCTCCATTATTAATTATGTTCCCTTAATTCTCGTCGATCTATACATGGCGACACTAATTACAACCACTTACACCAGTCGATTATTAAGTATAAAAGTAAACAAAACTCACCGTAGGCAGAATGTATATCCGTGCTACACCAAAACTAGACTTTCCACTCAGCCTATCTGATCTCCTTACCGTACGTTGCTTTCTACTGTTAGCAAATATTTGAGTTTAACGACAGATCACGTTATCTTAAGCCTCGACTCTCTAAACATTTGATACACCTGTTTTGTGCAAACTTCAGCTTTTTCAGCCCCCCCCCCTCGCTCCACTACTAATAACACAATTCCAGATTTAAAATAGGTTAAACCATAGCGTGTTGTGTTCGTTGGAATCAGTTTATCATCTACGTTTTCGTCATTTCATTGACCGTTTAAATATTTTTTGTTTTAGTTTTTAAATAATCTCTTTTAAAACTCAGAACTTTTTTGAGAAGTGCCTCTATACCAGGGATTCATTGGGCTACTTTACGTATAAAAATACGGATCTTCATCAAATTTAAACAAACATAACTACTTTATACTTTACTTGAACAAAATTGTACAGCAAACATTTTAACACATAATTTATTTAGTATGAAACATAAAGTTTCAAAAAAAAAAAAAAAAAAACAAGAAAAAAAAAAACAACCAAGGTTCTTGCCGAATTTAATACAAGTTGAGCTGCCAATGTTTCTTGACTTGATTTAACAAGACGACTGTTAATTGAGGAAGTTGAATGTGTTTGTTTTCTTAAATGACATGATGTTTTCAAAGTTAATTGATGTGTGTAGAGAAGGGACATGCTCATCATGTAGGAAACACCACACACTATGAAGCACCTTTTAAATTTCAAACAATTGAATAGCTATTCTATAGTACAGCCGTCCAACCTGTACAGTTTAGAATGTACAAGATACACTTACTTATCATACGAAAACTTTGACATGACGTTTGTATTAAGAATTATTTTTTCTACCTGGGTTGTGTTTAGTCGTGTTGTGTTGTGTTGGTTAGCGTGACATAAGTTTTTCTCATTTATTTTGGCTAGACTGAAAGGCTACGATACGCTGCGTGACGGGCGCAGGTTGATAAGAAAAGGTCTGTACCTCACACAACACTGAGTGTTTGAATCTTTTTATATGGGCCGCTTACATCTGTGGGGCGGGGTAGGGTGCAGTAGATAATTTACAGCCTGGATGGAAAGGGAAAACATGGTTGGTTTAAGGGTTGTAGCGTGGGTACTTTAGAGGCTAGTTAGTCGTGCAGGAAGGTACTAGGCGATACACCAGTATGAGATAAAGGTACTACACGACACAACAGTATGAGATAAAGGTACTACATGACAAACCAGTATGAGACAAAGGTACTACACGACACAACAGTATGAGATAAAGGTACTACACGACAAACCAGTATGAGATAAAGGTACTACAGAACACAACATATGAGATAAAGGTACTACAGAACACACCAGTATGAGACAAAGGTACTACACGACACAAAAGTATGAGATAAAGGTACTACATGACAAACCAGTATGAGACAAAGGTACTACACGACACAACAGTATGAGATAAAGGTACTACATGACACAACAGTATGAGATAAAGGTACTACACGACAAACCATTATGAGATAAAGGTACTACACGACAAACCAGCATGAGATAAAGGTACTACACGACACAACAGTATGAGATAGAGGTACTACATGACACATTAGTTAGGTAATGGGGTGGGGGAACGTGTTTCACGCAGAAGCGGCAGTTCAATGCTCCGATCAAAGACAAACAATTTAAATAGATGAACCATGTTTTTAGTTTTCTATTTTCATTGACTTTTGAGACTTGTTTAATTTTTTCAAATGGCCCGGTTTTTTTGGTAAAGTTGTCGGTTTGCTACAGTTACTACTACAGTCACTACTACAGTATCTACTACAATCACTACTACAGTCACTACTTCAGCAACTACTACAGTCACTACTTCAGCCACTACTTCAGGCACTACTACAGTCACTACTACAGTCACTACAGCCACTACTACAGTCACTACTACAGTCACTACTACAGTAACTATTACAGTCACTACTACAGTCACTACAGTCACTACTACAGTCACTACTACAGTCACTACTACAGTCACTACTTCAGTCACTACTACAGTCACTACTACAGTAACTACTACAGTCACTACAGCCACTACTACAGTCACAACTACAGGCACTACTACAGTAACTACTACAGTCACTACAACAGTCACTACAGCCACTACTACAGTCACTACTACAGTCACTACTACTGTTAATACTACAGTCACTACTACAGTCACTTCTACAGTCACTACTACAGTCACTACTACAGTCACTACTACAGTCACTACTACAGTCACTACAGTCACTAAAGTCACTACTACAGTCACTACAGTCACTACTACAGTCACTACTACAGTCACTACTACAGTCACTACTACAGTCACTACTACAGTCAATACAGTCACTACAGTCACTACTACAGTCACTACTACAGTCACTACTACAGTCACTACAGTCACTACTACTACATTACTACAGTCACTACAGTCACTACTATAGTCACTACAACAGTAGCTACAGTCACTACTACAGTCACTACAGTCACTACCGTCACTACTACATCCATTACTACATCCATTACTACAGTCACTACAGTCACTACTACAGTCACTACTACAGTCACTACTACAGTCACTACAGTCACTACTACAGTCACTACTACAGTCACTACTACAGTCACTACTACAGTCACTACTACAGTCACTACTACAGTCACTTCTACAGTCACTACAGTCACTACTACATCCATTACTACAGTCACTACAGTCACTACTATAGTCACTACTACAGTCGCTACTACAGTCACTTCAGTCACTACAGTCACTACTACAGTCACTACAGTCACTACTACAGTCACTACTACAGTCACTACTACAGTCACTACTACAGTCACTACAGTCCCTACAGTCACTTCTACATCCATTACTACAGTCACTACTTCAGCCACTACAGTCACTACTACAGTCACTACAGTCACTACTACAGTCACTACTACAGTAACTACAGTCACTACTTCAGTCACTACTACAGTCACTACTACAGTCACTACTACAGTAACTAAAGTCACTACTACAGTCACTACTACAGTCACTACAGTCACTACTACAGTAACTACAGTAACTACAGTCACTACTACAGTCACTACTACAGTCACTACTACAGTAACTATAGTCACTACTACAGTCACTACTACAGTCACTACTACAGTCCCGTGTAACTTTATGTGAAGATGTGGTTGTTTTGGGCGGGGGAGAGGGAGGGAAATCAGTAATAATGCCATTAATTTGACCTCTTGTTGAACAAATGCAGATTAGAAGTTTCAATAAACAGTGACGTCACAAGACACTTGTTTAAAATTAGTCTAAGGAAAGAACGCATAACTAATGGCGTCATCTTCCAATTTTAGAGTATTAAGAAATAAACTATTTTTATTCAAATTTGATTTAGATCTACCTACGCTCTGAAATGTATGCAATACAATTTTCTCGGCCTAAACTTATAAAATTAACGGTATCTATTTCGATTCTAGATCTAGAGCTTCGTAAAAACTAAAATTAGATTCTAGATCTAGACTCTATCTAGAACTAGAATCTATTCTAATATGAGTTCTTATACTAAACTATTTCAGGCCTTCATTATTTTATATAAATCTTTGTTTAGCTAAGGAATTGGCGACTCTGGGATAAAATTTAATTTGAAATAATAGGGCATATTTGCGTAAGTTAAGTTTCTTAAGTACCCCACATATTCTGCGTAACAGCTAAAGTGCTTAAATATCTGAGATGATAGTGTTCTAGATACCATGCGGGTTGTATAGGTTCGAGTCACACCAAGTAAATCTAACTTTAAAAAAAATGTTTTTTAGATGGGAATGATAAAGTTGCCAATCGGGACTTGGTAAGACATGGGACAGGTGAAGTAGAGTTCACCTGTTTCTGACTTCTCAGCATATGAAGGGATAGTGTAGTCAGACCCACGCTCATCCGAAACAGGTGTTTTTAATAGACAAAAACAACATAACTACTATTAAACAGCATCCCCCGGACAGTTTTAAATGCCGCTCTCCAGAGATACATATCTAAAAGAAAAAACGGGTAGTCTGTTTGTAAAAAGAAGAGATCTAAAGTCACCAGAATTGACCGTGTAACAGGTACCGATGGCTAGATATAAAATAATAGCGATAGCCACAACATCCCATCCCCAAACTTTCTCCATCATTAAAATATCAAACCACATGTAAAATTAAAAATACCAGCCTAATATGATCGTTGCAGTGACAAAAAAAAAATCATTTCTAAGTGTAAAAAAAATCTTGTATTATTTGTAATTATTTTATTCCGGTGAGTAAGTTATGAGTGATACAAGATATGCAATGTACATTAGCCAATCCAAAGTCGGGATTTGTACAGCCGTCTCGAAACGATGCATAAAAATAAACAGTTACAATCAAACAAAAACATGAAAATTATTTATTTTCCAGCGTCAAAACAACAACGCAACTTTTTAAAAAAATGTTCAAATAGGTGTTTTAACTACAATTTGACACAATTACTCATTCATCTATAATTACATAGAGCTCGATATTACAAGTTATTTTATTTCATATTTCATATTAACATTACGTGTTAAATACACGATAATCAGATTTCTCAACATCTTGTAAATTAATCACATCGTAAGTGTGAACATTGTGGTTTGCGTATGAGCTTGAGTTAACTTGTAAATTAACCTCCTCAGTTTCGATTGCCTCGGTGTAAATCTTGTGTTGCTCTGTAAATTAGAGATAATAGCTTGTAGTAATTCAATTGTGGGAATAGTAATTTTTTTCACTCTTTCTCTCATTTATTTCCTTCACGCTTTCATTTTTTCACCCCCATGTAAAATCAGACGTATTAAAAAACACACATAAACAAAGTACAGTTATATAATGGTTACAGTCATTCATATCAGCCTACAATTCAAGTTGTTTTTATCACAACTTACAACAGTTTGTATTACGGTTACCTGACTCAAGTTTAGAGTCCGGAGTATGATCATGTTTTTCTTCTTTTATTTTATCATTTTTTCTCCACGACCACATTTTGATGCGGTGTAGAAGTACTGCGGTAATTAGAAACAGAAGGGCAGTTACTACAACACCGATGGCCACACCAATTCCAATTCCTTCAGCCCTTTCATTTGGCTGGTCTTTCTCTACATTAAAAAGACGAAATTTTTCGTATTACAGGATGAATTTTGACATATAACTCTATTAAGATAACTTTTACAATGTAACACCATAAAGCAATTAAACACGTTTTATATATAACTTTTTAAAACAAATAAAAACATATTTTTATCAGTGTTTTAGATACTGACTATAGACAATTTAAACTAACCGTTTTGACAAAATTTTCCTGTCGAACCCGGATAACATTTTTCACATTGACCACTGACGCTGTCACATTTTGATTGGAAACAGCTGATGGAGCAATTCAATTCACAAAGTTTTCCATAATGATAGGGATCACATGCTGGCGGAAACATACACAACTATAATTGGTTAATTGAATACTCTTACAATATACAAAGACTATCTAAAAACATACATATATCTATTGATATATATATAGTCTTTGTAAAT